GAGTAGCTGGGACTACAGGCATGTGCCACCATGTCCGGCTAATTTTTTCTATATATTTTTAGTTGTCCAGCTAATTTCTTTCTATCTTTTAGCAGAGCTGGGGTCTCACTCTTGCTCAGGCTGGTCTCTAACTCCTGAGCTCAAACAATCCACCCGCCTCGGCCTCCCAGAGTGCTAGGATTACAGGCGTGAGCCACCACGCCCAGCCTCTGCCTTCTTTTTGATTAATTGTTAATATTCATTTTATCTAGACAATGGACTCACTAGCTATAACTCTTTACATATATTTACTTTTGTTTTATTTAAGATAAAGAATTGTATCTTATCACTGTCTATCTTCAAATAATAATTCTTCACATATAATTTAAGAACCTGACAGTATATAATAATTGTGTATTATATTGTAAATTTCCATTTTCCCTCTTCATATTTTGTGCTATTGGTGTCATACATTTTATTTCTATAAGTTATAGATCACACAGTATATTGATGTTATTTCTACTTTAAATAGTCAACTATCTTTTAATGAAATTTAATAAATGAGAAAAATGTCTTTTAGATTTAGCTACCTGTTTACCATTTCTGGCTCCTCATTCCTTTCTGTCAATCCAAATTTTCATCCAGAGTCATTTTTCTTCATCGTGAAAAACTTTCATTAATATTTTTTGTAGTGTATGTCTGTCTGCTGGTGACAGATACTCTCAGCTTTTGTCTGAAAAAGTCTTTATTTCCCTTCATTTTTGAGGGATATGTTCTCTGGGTAGATAACTCTAGATTGGGAGAGGGTTCTCCCTGCTTTTTCTTTTTCCTTTCTGTACATTAATGGTGTCATTGCTTTGTCTTCTGGCTTGAAATTTTTTCTGACAAGAACTCTGAAGTTATGTGCTGATTTTTGTTCCTCTGTAGGTTCCTTTGGTTGCCTTTGACATTTTTTCTTTATCACTGGTTTTCAGTAATTTAGTTATTACTTGTTACTTGTTACGGCTTCCTCGGTGTTTACCCTGCCTACACTTCCTTTAAATTCCTGGATCTGTGAGCATATGGTTTTCTTCAAATTTGAAAAAACTTCAGTCGTTACTTTCTCCAGTATACTTTCTACACCACTACCCCATTTTTGATACTGGCCCACAAGTCGTTGAGTATTTTTCTCTGTGTGTTTCAATATGGATAGTTTCTATTGCTGTGTCTTCAAGCTCACTGACCATCTCTTCTTTTTCAAAAAATTTTTTTAACCAAAGAGCTTTTTGTCGCCCACATTTTTAAAAAGAAAAAAAACTGACCATCTCTTCTGCTAAGTCTATGCAACGAGTTTTTCATCCCAGATATTTTGTTTTTAAGCTTTTGACATTTTATGTGGTTCTTTTTAATAAATTACCTTTCTCATCTCACTATATTCATACTTTTCTTTAAATCCATCAGCATATTTATAATAGTTGTTTCTAAAGTCACCACTAGTCCCATCATCTCCCTCATATCTGGGTCTTTTGTCCTCAATGAGTGTTTCTCTGGGTTACAGCTCATATTTTCCTGCTTCTTCACCGCCTAGTAATTTTTTTATTGAGGCAAAATTCACATAACATAAAATTAACCATTCATCTGGGTTGTTTTCACCTTTGGCTTTTGTGACTAGTGCTGCCTTGAGCACTCCTGTACAAGGATTTGTTTGAATACCTGTTTTCAATCCTCTTGTGCATAAACCTAGGCGTGGAATTACTGGATCATATGGTAATTCTGTTTAGCCTTTTGAGGAATTGCCAGACTGTTTTGGCAATGGCAGCACCATTTCACATTCCTACCAGCAGTGTACAAGGGTTCCAGTTTCTCCACATCCTTGGCAAGATTTTTTAAAAAAATTATAACCATCCCAGTGAGTGTGAAATGGTATCTCTTGTGGTTTTGACCTGCGCTCCCTAATGACAGTGCCACTCCGCATCTTCTCACTTGCTGTTGGCTATTTGTTTATCTTCTTTGGAGAAATGTCTACTCAAATGCCTTTGTCCATATTTTTAATTGCTGGATATTGTGAATTTTGTGTTATTAAGTGTTGTTTTGTTGTTGTTTCCCCTTAAAGAATAGGGAAGTTTGCTTTGATAGGCAGTTAAACTATTTTTGTATCATGTTATTCCTTTCAATGCTTGTTTTTGATACCCAGGGTAGGTGTAGAGTGGCCTTTACTCTAGAGCTAGTTTAACAGATCCCTGAGGTGGGACCTGTCAGGGTCTCTCCTGAATATTCTGGTGTTCAACAAGGTCTCTCCACCCTGGCTCTTGGCATATAAAGGTCCCCTCCCTATGTGATCTCTGGGAATTGTCCAGGGTGCACCCCCAGCCCCATGATGGCTAGTCTTTGCCTGGCCTCCAGAAGCACCCCCCATTCCTCCCTGGCCTGGTGCTCAGCAGCCAGGCCAAGAGGACTGTTGCCTGGCCATGTGGCTTGTGTTCTGACACAGCAGTCCTGCACTGCTTCATGTACAATGTTTGTAGATGTGACTTTTGTCACATATTTTGTCCATTTTTCTAGTTGATAATGGAAGGGGGGCATGTCCAGCACCAGCCACCCCGTTGTAACCAGAAGTCTCTCGTTCCTTCCTCTTCTTTTTCACTCATTTATCCCCACTCCTCCACCTCTATATGGAGGAATAACTGGAGTGCCATAAACTTCACATATTTAAAGTGCAAGATTTAAACAGTTTTGACATAAGTATACACCCCTGAAATCCTCACCCCAATTGGGACATTTCCATCACCTCCAAATGTGTTCTCCTACCACTCACAATCTGTCTCTGCCTCCACCCACCCTCAGGCCACCACTGATCTGTAGGTGGTATTTTCTAGAATTTTGTATAAATGGCATCATACAGGTTACTCTTGTGAGGGGAGGTGTGGTTTCTTGCCATCAGCATGATGATGCACTATTGTATCCATAGTTTCTTCCTTTTTATTGCTGAACAGCAGTCCATTGTCTGGATGGGCCACAATTTGTTTTGCCATTTCCCTGTTTGAAATGTTGAAAGCAACATCTGGGTTGTTTCCTGCTTGGGGCTGTTACAAATAAAGCTGCTATGAACATTCACACCCACTTTTTTGTATGGATGTTTTCATTTCTCTTGGGTAAGTTCCTTGGGGTAGAATGTCTGGGTGACAAGGCATATTTATGTTCAATATTTTAAAGAACTGCCGAATTTTTTCCAAAGTGGCTGCAGCATTTTATATCTCCATCAACAGAGCAGGAGCATTCTGGCCCCTGCACGCCCTCACCACACCAGGTGAGTAGCCATCCCTGCAGGCACTAGTGGGATCTCAGGCTCTGACTCGCGCTCTCATTCCCTGCAGACCTGCGCTTCACTGAGCTCTCCTTGGGCTCCGGCACCACCCACGACACCCACGACGTGTTACGGGTCCACGGTGCAGAAAGTCAGAAACCCAGAGGAAGAATTAAGAAACTTACAGCTGTAGCACAGGGTAATTTTACGATTGCTGAAGCTTATAAAAAATTGGGGCTTTATTTTGTATGTCTATGGCTTTTAATTTTTTTCTAGTAATTCGTTTTACTGCATTTTACAAAGTTATCGATCTGCAACAGATTTAAAACTTTTAAAGAAGACGGTTCTTGGGCAGTTCCAGAAGCTCACTCTGAATGCCCAGGTGCAAGGATGTGCACACGCCGTTGGTCTCACCTGGCTGCTGCTTTAAATGACACCGGACACCGACATCCAGTGTGTGTCACCTCGTCCCTCCAAAGTCACGTCTTTCTAAGACTTCCACTTGGATGTCTAAACAGCATCTTAAAATGTTCCAATTCCAGCGTTCCTTCGCTAAACCTGCTCTACCCATCTCCTTGCCCACCTCATCCCTGTGCTTCCAGAACCCACTATGAACCTGGGGCAGCTGGCATTCCTGTCTCACGCCTACAGCCCATCCTGCAGTAAATCCAAGGGCTCTGCTACAGCCAAGTGCAGCCCTCACACCTCCCGCGTGGCCTCCCCTCTCCTACTCTCCTGCCCCACGACCCCCAGGCGGGGCGGAGGGCGGAGAGAGGCCTCAAGAAGCTGGCGCACGCGACACGGGGCGGACGGGGGCCTCAAGGGGCCAGGAGAGCCCCGAGGCGGCGCCGACGCGGCGGGACAGAGGAGCGGGGACTCCGCGTGGCCCGGAGAGGGCGGGGCTTGGGCCACAGCCCGCCCCCGTCCCTGGCGCAGGCGCGAGGGCAGGCGCGGCGCCGCCGTCGGGTTCGTTCCCGAGGCAACAACGCCCAACAAGTCCAGCCCAGCGGAGCCTGGGCCGCCTTCTGAGCCGGCGCCCCCCGCCGCCATGTGCGCCGCCGAGGTGGACCACCACGTAGCCCGGAGATACCTGCTCAAGCGGCGACTCGGGAAGGGGGTGAGCGCCGCGGAAGCGCCTGGGCGTCCACTTGGGGGTCTGCTTTGTCCGACGCTGGCGCCCTGCTTCCTCCACAGACTGGGGGGTGGCTTTGAGCAAGCCGTCGAGCCCTCTGTGCCTCAGTTTCCTCTCGGGGTAACAGGACCCTGACAGTGCCCACACCAGGGCCCTGTCTCCTGGAGGCAAGTGATAGCCAGGGCCCCACCCGCCCACAGAGCTCTACTTCCAGGGCTGCCTCTCCCCCGGCCCACAGGACGCCGGGGTCAGCCTCACAGCTTCAGTCGCTGAGGGGAAGGGTGGATCCCAGCATCAGCCTAGGCGGGCCCACAGGCTCTCCAGCCTGCCAGCACGGGCCAGGCCCAAGAGAGGCTGAGCGGGGAAACGGGTGGGCGTGGAGGGAAGGCTGGAACCACGCGTGAGCTGGGTGTATTTGCGATTGTGTGTGAGCACGTGAGGTTGTGTATGTGAAAGTGTGTGACTGTGTGTGTTTGGGTGTGTAATGGGGGCAGGGAGGAAGAGCAGCCCAGGTGGTGCACCTAGCATGTGCAAAGGCCCTGAGGCAAGGTCTGCCTGTCCTTGGAGAAACCACAGAGTTGTGTGTGCCTGGATAGGAGTGAACTAGGGGAGGAGAGGCGAGAAGGGGGAAAAGGGAGAGGTGTATGTCTGATTGTGTGGGGGGCTTTGGGGAACTTCAAGGACTTTGGCTTTTACTGTTACTGACACTGGGAGCTGTAGTGGCTGTTGGTACCACTTTATAAGGCTCAGCCTGCCCCCTCTGTTGAGGGCCCACTGTGGGGGTGGGCAGAAGTGGCAGAGGGAGAGCAGCTAAGAGGGTAGCATTGCTGCTCAGCAAGAGATGCTGGAGGCTCAGACCAGGGTGGTAGGAAGTGGTGAGGTTCTGGATCAATGTGAAGATGGAGCCAGCGGGCTTACTGGCAGGCTGGATGTGGTGTGTGAGAGAGGAATTGAGAATGCCTGGGCAGCTGGAAGGATGGAAGGCCATCCCTGAGAGGGGCAGGCTTCAGTTCCTTCCCAGAAGTTCCCATCTGTGACCTCACCTCCTCCAGGGGCCTCTCCAGCCCTCCTCTGGAGGATGTGGAGTGCCACGCAGCAGCTGGGCAGCCTGCAGGTGCAGGGTCCAGCATGCCACACTCCTGTCCCCTCCCAGGACCCAGTGTGGGAGCGAGTGGCCTCTGTCTGCAGGGGCAATCTGGGTGGGCAGGGCATGGCTGGGCAGACTGACCAGACTCCTCCCCAGGCCTATGGCATTGTGTGGAAGGCGGTGGATCGGAGGACTGGTAAGGTCGTTGCCATCAAGAAAATCTTTGATGCCTTTAGAGATAAGACAGATGCTCAGGTAAGGGCAGAGGGCAGGGGTGGGACTGATGTTGCTGGGTGCCTGGAAGCCCAGGTGTCAAGTTGACACCCAATCATAGCAGGTTTCCTGGTATTTCCTGTAGCACACCCCCTTTGTGACCCCATGGTCCAGTGGGTGTTTGGGTGATGGGCACCAGCCCCTTTGGTGCTTGGGCTTCTTTCTTGCTCTGTCTACCCCACACCTGTTTCTGTCTCTTCCAGAGAACGTTCCGGGAAATCACGCTCCTCCAGGTGAGTGGCCTAGGCTGTCCTGCCTGCTCCCTTTCCCCAGGTCCGGATCTCTCCAGACAAGGGGGAAGCTGGCCCTCAACCCCCAGGGTACAACCCTGGCCTCGCAGCAGCAGCAACCAACTCTCTCCCCAGGAGTTTGGGGACCATCCCAACATCATCCGCCTCCTTGACCTGATGCGGGCAGAGAATGACAGGGACATCTACCTGGTGTTGGAGTCTATGGGTGAGTGAGGCCTCACTCAGCCCCCAGCCCCACCTCTGTCCTGGCCTTGGGACCCCACCTGGTGGCCTGACTCCCTCTTTATATCCCTTTGCTGCCTGGGTCCCCATAGTGGCTTGTACCTTCACCTTGTACCCTGCACCCAAGGACAAACAGCTGACAAGTGTCAGCCTCCAGAGCCTGGCAGTGACCACGTCGATCCCACCTGCACAAGGTTCCTGCTTTGTCCATGGTTTGCACCTGCATTTTCCTTTTTCTACTCATTTTATAAAACAAAGGCAACATGAAATAAAGTACGAAAACAATTCCACGAACCTTTCTTGTACCAACAAAGACAGCGGGCAGGACTGAGAAGCCTGAGGGGTGTCCAGACACTGCAGGCCATGGGCAGAATCAAAGTGGGACCAACCTGCCGGCTCTCCCCAGGTGCCCCTTGTCTGGCCCCAGACTGACCTGCATGTCCTTCCCCAGGTCCCCGCACCCGCAGACTGATGTGCATGCCTTGTCCCCAGACACTGACCTGGATGCCGTCATCAGGAAGGGTGGGCTGCTGAGGGATGTCCACAAGCGCTACATCTTCTACCAGCTCCTGCGGGCCACCAAGTTCATCCACTCAGGGCAAGTCATCCACCGGGACCTAAAGGTGCAGCCCCACACTGCGTCTGCACAGCCCCCATCCCCCATCCCCCAATGGCCCACTCAGCCCTCAGCCCACCTCCTCTTCCAGCCGTCCAATGTCCTCCTGGACGCCAGCTGTGTGGTGAAGCTCTGTGACTTCGGCCTGGCCCGCTCTCTGAGTAACCTCCCTGAGGGGCCCGAGGGCCAGCCCCTGACCCAGTACGTAGCCACACGCTGGTACCGAGCTCCGGAGGTGCTACTGTCCTCAAGCTGGTAACAGTGAAACACCCCAAACCCCCCTTCTCCCTGCAGGCTCCCCAGGGCTGCCCTCCTGCCCCCACCCCGGGCTCCCAGGCCTTCCTGTGCCCTGAGCCTGCCTTGGCCCCCACCCCCACTGTGCCCTCACTTTACTCTCCCAGCACCCCCACCCGTCTCTGGGTCTCCCTCATGCCTATACCCCTCCTGCCCCAGGTACACCCCTGGGGTGGACATGTGGAGCCTGGGCTGCATCCTGGGGGAGATGCTTCGAGGGCAGCCCCTATTCCAGGGGACGTCCACACTCCACCAGCTGGAGCTGATCCTGGAGACCATCCCGCCTCCATCCGAGGGGGGTGAGCATGTGTGCAGGGGTCCTAACCTCAGCAGCCTGGCGCTGGGCACTGGGGATGCTGAGGGCCAGAGGATGCAGCTGTGGGGAGACAGTGCCTGACAGGCCAGGGCAGTGCAGAGAGGAGGGATGGGCCAGGGAGGAGGTCGGGGGCAACTGCCCAGAGGCTGCAAGAGAGTCAGCACCTGGCCCCGGGCACCATGAGGGCCACACAGTAACCATGGAGGGCCAGCCAGGTCAGAACAAGGTCCCTGAGGGTTGTAGGCTGGCAGGGCCAAGGATTGTCACTGTGCTGGGAGCTGGGCAGGGCAGATTGGGAGGTGCTAAGCCCTGCCAGACAGCAGAAGCCCAGAAGGGATGGCTGGCCCAGACTCCCCACCTGCCCAGGCCCCTGGTTCCAACACCCCCTGCCACCCACCCCCAGACCTCCTGGCCCTCGGCTCAGGCTACAGCACCTCCATTCTGCATGGCCTGGGGTCCCGGTGAGTGGGGGCACTTTGGTGCGGGGCAGGGGTGGCCTGTCTTGGGGGGGGCCTTCCTGCCACGTTGCTGGGGCCAGTCTGCAGGGTGACGCCCTGCCCTGCTTTTTTGATGGGTCATGCCATAAGCCAGGAGTCCCCAGTGCTGGCACCAGGGGCTGTGGGACAGCACCCTGGCCTGGGTGGCTGGAGGGAGGCCTGGAGGAGGGCCCAGAGGGCAGGCAGAGGTCTCCCACTCTCCCAGGTGTCTGCAAATCAGGCATGGGAGTCCACAGAGACAGGAAAGTGGGGTGGGGCCAAGGGTTGGAAGCTGCACTCCAGGCCACAGACACGGAACTGACGAGGGGCCCACAGGCCTTGGAGAGGAGATGACGGGTGGCGCCCACAGGCCACGGCAGACGCTAGACGCCATCCTGCCTCCAGACACACCCCCAGAGGCCCTGGACCTCCTCAGGCTACTCCTGGTGTTTGCCCCTGACAAGCGGCTCAGCGCAGCCCAGGCACTGCAGCACCCCTATGTGCAGAGGTGGGGGCAGGCCCCCAAAGCACAGGCATGGGGGGGAGCTGGAGGTGCTGCCTGACCGCAGCCAGCTCTCACCTCTCCTGCACCGGCCTCCCTGGCCCCACTACAGGTTCCACTGCCCTGGCCGAGAGAGGACTCGGGAGGCGGATGCGCGGCTCCCAGTGCACGAAGGAGTCCAGCTCTCTGCATCTGAGTATCGCAACCGCATCTATCAGGTGCTCTGGCCCAGGACCCTCCTCATTCCCTATCCACGCGCACCCTTGAAACCTTCTCCCACCTCAATGACTCCCAAAGCCTCTACACCCTGCCGTACACCTCTGAGCTCCCTCCCCTCCCACAGATCATCCTGGAACAGAGAGGCAACAGTCACGTCCGGAAAGAGGAGGGCTTGGGGGGCGCCCCTCTGCGAACGGAGCCCAGGGCCTCTGGGCCCCAGGTGCAGCCACTCAAGCTCAGAGCTGGCACCCAGCTCCTCTCAAGGGCGCCTGCACAGAACCCCGGACTCAGGCCTCAGAATAGCGCCGGTCCTGATCTGGAGCATGGTGTGTGGTCTTTGTCCCCCACGGAGCATGGCTTGGCCCCTTCTGTATGGGATCTCCAACTACGCACAGCATAGGACTTCTAACCCCCGGAGGTGATTTTCCCACCCCACAGATGCCCCAAGTGCATCGAGGAACATTTACAGGCAGAACTCGGCCCCCCTGCCCCAACCTGCGACCCCTGGGATAGAGGCAGAACCCCCTTCGGCACCCTCTCGGGTAAGTTGTGGTGAGGTGGGCACAGGAGGAACCCTTGTTCTGTACCTTTCAATGACACTGTGATGCTCCCCTTCCCAGGTGAAACCCAACGTGAGAGGGGCGGTGCCTTCCCTGACCTCGCAGGCTGCGGCCCAGGTAGCCAACCAAGCCCTGATCCGCAGTGACTGGACCCGGTCCTGTGGGGTGAGGGCGGCTGGCGTGCCACTGGTGAGCCCCGGCCCCAGTCCGACCCCCTCCCTTCCCTGGCCTTCCCATTCCCCCCAACCCCTCAAGGGCCTCCCCTCCTCTTCTCCCCCCAGCCTGCTCCCCCTCACACTGACCCCTGACTGCCTGCAGGTCCCTCCACGGCTGCCCCCAGAGCCCCGGCCTGGCCGGAGGATGTTCAGCTCCTCTGCCTTGCAGGGGGCCCAGGGGGCTGCCCGGGCCACGCTCGGGGGCTACTCCCAAGCCTACGGTACGATCTGCCACTCAGCACTGGGCCGCCTGCCCCTGCTCCCGGGACCACGAGCGTGAGCTGCTCTACCTGCCTTGGCCCCAGCCGTCTCAGTCCCTTCCCTCTCTGCCTGGCCACATTCAAGTTTGGGGAGATTTGGCCTCTTTGGAGGAGTAGATGAGGACCCCTCCCCTGTCCCAATGACTTCCTCCAATAAAGGCTGTCTGTCCCCCACCTAAAGATCCGTCTTTCATCCACCCCCTTCTGAGGGGCTCCCTCTAAGGCCACATCACCTCCACTCCTTTCCTGGAGCCCACCCTCTTCTGAGGACCCCTCCACCCCTGAGCCCAGTGGGAAGCTGCATTGGTTACCATCTGCTATCACCCTGTGGCTCCTGCCACCCCCTGCCTCACTGGCACCTAGCACAGGGCTTTTCTCCAGGCAAATGCCACCTAAGTCCAGCCTGCGGGAGCACCTTGGCTCCAGCTTCCTGTTCTCTGTCCACAGTGCCTTGCTGCCTGCACCATAAGACACCAGCCTGGGGCTGCTACACGGTCCAGGCTACGCCCAGGGTGGGCCCACCATTGCCTGGGTGCAAGCCACCACAGGACCACCTTTGTGACCCTAGGCCAGAGCCCTGTTCCTCCTCCAGCCCCCAGATGCCCCCTGCCCTTTCTCCACTGTCGGTGGCCACAGCCCGTGCCCTACCATCACAGTGACTGCACCTGGCTTGTCTCCAGGTCTTGGTAGGGGAGGGCAGGGGATGAGGTGTCTCGTGGGGCTCAAGGCTACCTCCTCTGGTCCCCCACCAGGCAAAAGACCTGGTGTTAGTTCAGGCCAGGGGTATGGCGGGCTGAAGAGATGAAAGGGGCTCAGTGGACACACAGCTGTGTCCCATGGTGCCATGGGTGCCCCGAACTACACCTGACCTTGGGCTGGGTCCAGAACACAGGGCCACATCCCAGCTGCCTGGCAGAAGAGCTCAAAGTCTAACAGGTGCAGGTGCTGTGCTAGGCGTGGGGCTTCCAGGAGCAGGGAGTCCTGCCCTGTGATAAAAGCCACTGGCCACGCTGGGGAAGCCAAAGGACACGGTGTGGGCAGTGGGAGCTGAGCAGAGGATGAGAGCTTGCACCACAATGTGCTGGGTCCAGACTGGGTGACCAAGAGAGATTTGGGAAGCAGAGAGAACTGGGCTTGGGGACAATTTGGAGGAAGCAGAGGGAGGAGAGGAAGGGCCCAAGGGTGAGCCAGAGGTGGGGCCAAGGAGCTTGTTCCTGATGGGCAGCCAAGGGGGTTGAGCTTCCAGAGCCTGAGGCATAACCCCATGGTGACCGACACGCAGGACAGAAGAGGCCAGGGAGGGACTCAGGCTGGACAGGAGCTGTGGGATGAGGCTGGGATGGGCCAGCTGAACTTGGCGTGCAGGGGCCCCAGGTGAGTGCCCACACCGAGGGCTGGGCATTGTGAGGAGGGGCACAGTCACACAGTAGGCAGGGGCAGGAGGCAGAAGATGCGGGTGGAGGTGCTGGAAGGACACATGCGGAGGGGTCTCTAGTGCTCCCACAGGGATGGGCAGTGGTGTCCACAAGGGAAATTGGGAAGGTCACCAATTTAGCTGAAAGTTAAAGGCTGTGACATATAATTAGGTGATTATATATATTTGGGAATACACTGGAATAATTTGTGTATTGTGTTTTATTGTTAACACCAAAATGTGCCACATCATGTTTTAGGAGATGTCTTACTCAACAAGATGTGGAGGGTGCAGGCAGGAGGCTCTGAGGGCCCCTGGCTGGGCAAGCAGCCTCTGGCCTCCCCATGGGCAGAATGCTGCCCTTCCTCTGGGGGCCTGTCTGTTCAGAACAGTGACACACCAGGCAGCACCGAGACAAACCTGTTAGCACATGGGCAGACCTTTTCCACCTGGTCAAAGTCCCTGCTGTCGCCCCCACTTTGATGGTGGCTTTAGTGAACTGTCAGGGAGTGAAAGTGGGCTCATTTCCCTTCCTTCTCTAGCTGCTGGAGTAGGAAATACTTTTAAAATTTTTTTTTTCTTTAGAGACAGACAGGGTCTTGCTCTATTGCCTAGGCTGGAGTGCAGTGGCATGATCATATTAAAATAGCTCACTGTAACCTTGAACTCCTGGGCTCAAGCAATCCTCCTGAGTCGCTGGGACTACAGGTGTGCACCACCAATGCCCAGCTAATTTTTCTTATTTTTTTTGTGGAGATGGGGTCTTGCTATGTTGCCCAGGCTGGTCTCAAACTCCCAGCCTCAATCAATCCTTCTGCCTTGGCCCCCCAGAGTGCTGGGATTACAGGCATGAGCCACCTCGCCCAGCCAAAACAAAAACAAAAACATCTATTTGAAGAAAAATAGCAGAATACAGAAACTAATTTCATAATGCTAACATCTAATAATGGGGGACTTTATAAGTATTTGGTACCAAAATGTATCATTCCAAGTCAATTAAAATTACTCTCTGAAGGTACAAAAAGATGTAAGATAGGTAAGCCAGGAACCCTAAACACATTCTGTGTGTTGGTGACAAAGAGGAAAGGATCCAAGGACAGGGTGGAGTCAGGGTCTGGGGGGCACCTACAGGGCAAGGACCACTCCAGCCCACAGGACCTGTGCCTCCTGGAGCGGTGGTGGGGCCCCAGCTCTACCACAGCTTGTCCCCTGTCCTCACCTGGCCCAACACCTGTCAAGGACAGTGCTCTGCATCCAGCCTCTCTCTGGGATATGGCTTGTGATGGCACCTACGCAGGGGACACTTCATGAAGCTGGGCCACAGGTCATCTGTCCAGACTATGTTTTATTGTGCTGCAAAGCCCAGTGCTGACCAGGGCCTTGCTGCAGGAGTGGTTGGGCCTGGCCCAGACAGCTTTCATTTGGGATGGCAGGGCAGCCCCGCGGGATCCCCTGCACCCCGTTTCCCAGTAGCCCACCCTATCCAGCCTCCCTGTCACTCTAAGAAAGGTTTCCTTTGGGTCCAGCTCCACCCCTCCCTCTCAAATTGCCTGCAGTCAGCCCAGCCTTCCCTGCAGCAAGAGGACAGGCCACCTAGAAAGATGCCAGGAGAATCCACGCAGGGAAGGAAGCAAGCCTGCAGCACTCGAGACAGAAGCCCTGAGAGGGAGGGTGGGGCTGTCAGGAGACAGTAAGGAGGATGGAGCCAGGGGGCCGTGCCTGAGGAGAGGGAACCCTGAGAACAAAAGCCCTGAGGAAACAAGAAACCCCAGAAAGAATGGGGAGTTAAGGCACAAAGAGATGGGTCCCTGAGGTGAATGAAGGCCCAAAGAGGACGTGAGCCCAAAGAGGTGGCCAAGGCAGGTGCATGAGCCAGGGAGGCTGAGGATCCTGAGAAGGGAGCTGGGGACAAGCACCGCAGTGAGGGGCTGGAGCCCCAAGGTTGGGGAGGCCAGCAGGTGAGCCTTGAGTGGAGCCCCGCTCTGGCAGTGCTCACCCCAAAATGCCCTGGCACGAGGGCCTGGCAGCCACCACTCAAGCACAAAAGCGTGGCTCTCCTTGCCCAGTCATGCTCTGGACGATGATGGCAGTGATTTGGCCACCCCGGCCTGGCCTGGTGGGCTATGAGACTCATTTCTTGCCTTTGAATGTGCCCAGGATCTTGGGCACGAACTTGCCAACCTTGCTGTCCCTGGTGCCCTCCTCCGCTGGGTTCTCCCCTGACCCAGGCCCACCGGCCTCCTCCTTTTTGCAGAAGACCTCGAAGCGGCTGTACACGCGCTTCTCCTTGCGCATGCTCTCCATGCGGCGCAGCAGCCGGTCGCGCTCCTCCGCACTGGCTGGCAGAGTGCGGCTGAGCCGGCCTTGGGTCCCCAGGCTGTCCGAGCGAAAGATGGCTGAACACTTGTCCTTGTCGGACATATCTGGAGCCAGGCCGCCGGCAGCTGGTGGATGGCCTAGTTCAGGGTTGCTGTGGGCTGGGCTGGAGCCTGGCGCAGGGACCCCACGGTGCTTCTGGCCGTGGGCGCTGATCTGCTCCAGAATTGCCTTCGTGTCATCCCGCAGGTTGCTGCTATACAAGGCATTGGCTGTGGCTGAGGCCAGGCGCGCCCGTGGGCCCCGCTCATCTCCTGTGGCAGCCTCTGCGCTGTCACCCCGGCCCAGTGACCGCCGCCGGGGACTCTCCGGCTGCCCGTTCTCCTGCGGCACTGGGAAACCACCCTCATCCTCTGAGCGCCGCTCACCCTTGGGGCTCAGCAGCTGCCTGAGGCGCAGGGAGCCCTTGCGCAGGACTTCCATGGGGCCGCCCACGGTCTCCTCCGCTGGCCCGGTCTTCGGAGACTCCCCAGAGGTGAGGGTGAGGCTGCCCCTGCGCTCGGGCACCGGAGGCACCGGACTGCCCCTGCGCTCGGGCACCGGGGGCACCGGGCTGCCCCTGCGATCTGCCACAGGGGGGACTGGGCTGGCTCTGCGCTCGGGCACCGGGCTGCCCCTGTGCTCTGGGTAGGCTGAGGTGGGGCTCCCTTTCTGCTCAAATCCTGCAGTTGGGCTGCTTCTCCGAGTGGAAAACCCAGGTGTAGGGCTCCCTTTCCGCTCAGGGTAAGCCGAGGTAGGGCTCCCTTTTGGCTCAGAATGGGGCACATGTTGTGCCCCGGGCCCCTCCAGCGTCAGGGGCTTGTCCGGCCCTTGCGGGGAGGTGGAGCGGCCCTGGGCAGAGAGGAAGCGGGAGGGCAGGCGATCGGTGCCACCCCGGCCCAGCGTGTCCAGCAGCTGTGCAGCAGTGAGCGTGGCGGATCCTGGCTGTCGCTCGGCTTCCTGGTGCAGCCGCTGGGCAAAGGAGTCGCGCAGGTCTAGCAAGCAGCTCTCCAGGCTGCGGCGCTCGCCTCCCGCGCCACCTGCTGCGGGCACTTCTTCCCGCCACGCCTGCGACACTACAGCCTTGCTGTGGCTGGAGACAGTCACGGCGCCCCCAGCGCCACCGGGGTCACGGGCCGGGCCCTTGTATTTCTCCAGTAGCTCCGCCACTTTGGCGGAGGCCGAGGAGCGCACAGCTTCTCCGCCGGGACCCAGCGTCTCGCTGACTGTCTGCTCCTTGTGCAGCAGCTGCACTTTTTCAGTGCTGGTCCCTGCGGCCCCGCCGGCGCCCTCGGC